CTCTTCCTAAATGACAAATCTGTTCATATCATATGGCCATTCCTATTAGCAGTACTTCCTTGCAGAATCAAAATGATATGTAGACACTATGCTACGTATGGGAAGATACTTTTGTTTTTCTTATTGACATTTCTGCTTGGATTTGGAGGACATGTAAAAAGAGCAAGGTAATAAGTTATTATATAATCAGAGCTATAATTTATCCTATAGATTCAAGGAACTACAAATCAAACATATCTGGACAAATATTTTTGTATAAAATATTCTTGTATAAATATTTTTGTATAAAATATTCTTGTCCTAATTCCCTATGAAACTCAAGATGCAGCTAGTTGCATTGTATTGGATAGTATGGTTTAAAGTCAGAAGGAGAATGGGCTGACTCATATATGAAGACTATGCATCCATAGGTCTTGGTATCTACTGAAAGACCAGAACCAGATCCCTAATGGGTCTGAGGGGCACTTCCCTCTTCTTGTTCTTGCTTAGTAGACCCTTCTTATTGAGGATGATTTCGTACAGATGTCCCCACTTTTGTGGCAGAAGTAGCAGTTCCTTTCTCTGAACTTCCTTCCATTCCTCATCACTACCACCTGTAGTGTTGGGTGATAACAGCTCTTCCTGACCATTTCTTCCCTTAGATTACACACTCTTCAAGGCTGGAATTGTGTCTCACCTGTTTTCATTGTCTTAGATCTTGACACAGAATTTGGCCAGAGTAGATGCTCAGAAATGGTTGGTTGCTATTAATATTCCATTCATAATCTTATAAACTCACATGGACTTTATGAAAGAAAAACTTGCATGGAAAGGAGAAAAATGGATCAGTGACACCAGCTAACAAATGTAAGACCATACTAGGAATATTAGAGGCCAGTAGTTTTATTTTGAAAGGCACTTTAGAATAGGGAAATTTAACTGGAATTTTCTAAAATATAAAAAGGCTGTATAGGCAGTTATACTGGTGCAGACATTATTATGTTGTTGTTATATAGTAAGGATTAGAAACCGAAGGCTTCAAATTCCATGCTCATGGGATGTAGGATGACATTTCATTTGTCTTAGCTTGTAGTGCCTTTATGATGTGCTGTGACATGACATTACTCCTGGAAAGCTGAGGAGAGTCAGCCTACAACATTATAGAAATGTCTGAGCTCTAGAAGCACCCTGTGATTCTTCTGGAAAAATTTACTGTGATGGTGAATACTCTAAGCTCTAGAAGTAAGGTTCCAAAGGGGAACTGAGAAATGTATATTGTTCTTTGTTGTTGGGGCACTGGTTTGCCTATACCTCCCTGTAGAAAGAGATTAAATCATTTCCTATTCTTACGACAGTGTTGGAGATGAAGTGGTTTGACCTTTGCTTATAGTATACAACAAAAATTTTTGCAGTGGGAATATCTCCAGCCTTTGCGTGAGTGACCACGTGAACCAAATTTACATGATAGACCAGAATGCAAACATTGGATTAGTTGTCCCCAGTCTCTACCATGCATGGTGCTGTAAATGCACAGCAAATGCTTTTCCTGAGTGGGGTGATTCTTGTGTGCTGGGTCTGTGGTATCCCTGGCTACCAGGGTGTTCCTCTCCATGAAGTGATATGGGTAGCATGTCACAGACATTTGAGTGTCTGGCTAGCATTGGCATCTTTCCCCATGTCACATTTACCATACAAAACAATGGAAAGTGACTGAACATTCACATAAAATTAATGTATTATTCCTACCTATGTCTTCCTATGTCTTCAGTCATTTCTGAAGGGATAAATTTGTTTAATTGATCATGAAGTGTATAGGAGATTTTTTTTTGCTTGAATGGTCCCAATGAACAATCTGAACTTTTGCAGAGGGAAATGTTTAGCACATTTACAAAATAATTATTCTCCAGGTCTTTAAAACTCATTTTACAAATCTGGAAGATGAAAGAGAAGGGAGAGATTGAAAAATGAAGACAGGGCAAGTGAGAGACATTAAGAGAAAGAGAAGCACATGAAGAGAGATTCAGAGTGAGTGAGTGTGTATGGGAGGGTATGATTAGAAAGGGGCTAGTATGAAGAACCAACTGGAAAAAAGCTGGCTAATTTGTCCATTGGTTCTCATTATTCTCCATATTTGTCTATAGGTTTAAATATTTCCTAATATAAACCTTTTAAAGTACCTTTGCACTGAATTTCAGGAATTAATATGGACATTACAAATTGTGTTTGTTACAAATTTTCTATACTCAACACTTAACAAAGTCTCCTTAGTTTTTGTTGGTATGCACATCTTTCATTAATAAAACGTCTTATAGCTCAGATTAGTAACTGATCTAATATAGTGTTTAACTCTGATTATTTTGTATTATAAAAAAGTCCTGTTTTGAATGATAAAATTTTTTTCTGAAGTGTATTTATCTAGGATCCAGTAAAGATGTCTACATACTAATTCACAGAACCTATTAATATCTTATCTTATTGGGCAAAAATCACTTTTCAGCTGAGATTATATCAGCCTTTTTATTTTTTTGGAGGAGGTTTCCAGAATTGGGGCTTGTACTCAAGGCCTAGACATCGTCCTTTAGCTTTTTCACTCAAGGCTGACACACTAACACTTGAGCCACAACTCCACTTCTGGTGTTGTAGTGGTTAAGTGGACATGAGTCTCATGGACTTTCCTAATGGTCTGGCTTTAAGCTGAGACCCTCAGAGTTCAGCTTCCTGAGTAGCTAATGTTACAGGCATGGACCATATTGCCTGGCTTAATGAGGCTCTTAAGAGAAGAGATTGCACTGGATTATCCAGATGGACTTCATGTGATTCCATGATTCTTAAGAGAGGGAGGAGGAGATGTGTTCCCAGCAGAGTTGGGTGATATGGACTCCATGCCAAGGAATGTTAACCATCTTTAGAAACTAGAACAGGTGAGGAACAAATTCTCCTGAGAGCTTCCAGAAGGGACCCAACCTGTAGATACCTTGGTTTTAGCCTACTGAAAATCACTTGGTACTTCTAACTTCTGGTTATCCAAGATGATTAATTGAAGTTTGAAGCTCCTACACTTGTGCTATTTCTTTTAGCAGCCACAAGAAACAAATACTGACAGGCTTGTACTTGAGCATGGATGAGTCTAGCTGGCAGGGAGAGGAAGTCTCCTTTTCTACTAGCGACCACTGGGCTCACTGAGAAGTGCAAACAAAGGAGGGTGAGGTCTACAACACTGCTGGCTTTGAATCCCATTCTGGATTAACACCTGGCATTACTGTTTACTAGCTGTGTAAACTTGAGTAACTGTACCTCTGTCTGCCTTTGTTCTCCAATTTGTAATGATTAGAACGATAGTTGAACTTGCATCATAGACTGGTTTAAGAGATGTAATCCATACAAAGTGTTCACACAGTTCTAAGCCCATATAGCAAAGGGGCTGTAACAGGCACTAGTATTGCATAAGCCCTCAGCGATTCAAAGGATTTACCACATGTTTATGGCTGTTCAGTTTTATTGGCCCACTTAATAAGGCCACTGGTTCTCTCAGAAACCACATAAATCATGTGTTCATCACTCATATAAATATAAAAGAAACACCTCCTTGTTCTGTGATTGTGCTAGCATGTCTATATTTCTCCCGCATTGGTGGAGTCTGTTTCGTTTTCACAGGTGGCACAGAAATAAATATACATATTTTCTATATGAGAGATAAGTATGTTCCTTGCAATAAAGATTGTGTCTGGTTACCTTTTAGGTCTTAACACATAGGACATTGTTTGCATGGATCTTCCTGTCCACTCTCTGTACAGTAGGAAGGTTTCATTAAGACAGCAGAAATCTCAGGGAAGAGGAAGGGACCATATGGAGAGTATGGGATGGTTGTGGGGGAGTGGGGTGCATGTTGTGTCATTACAGTTCTAGAGATGGGGGAATGTGGGAAACATCACAGATCAGCCATGGCTGGCTCTTGTTTAATGGCTTGATTATCACTCAGCGGAAGGTGGAGTCACTCACTTAAATTCCTTCCTCCAGTGTCACCTGCTGATAATGAAGTTCTTTTTATTCTTTATAGGAGGCATACCTCTTCAGTTGGGAACTAGTGAATTGTCATCTAAACTTCCCTTAGTGAGTGGCATTTGGGCATGACATACCTGACAGAGAAGAACCTTTTATCCCAGAGAAGAAAAAGATATTAAAGAGTGAGAGCAGGTGGTGTGTGCCAGGTAGAGAGAGAGCAGCATGTAAAACTGTTATCCACTGAAGGAATGGTACGAAGATCTTACAATGTCCAAGTTATTGAAGGTGTGCTTATTTTTCTCCAGGTGTGAAAAGGTTCCTCATCAGAATAGTGATTGTGAGAGTAGAAATAAAACATTCTGGAGTTCCAGAATTTTTATAAATAAATGCTAGAGAAGACAAGCAAAGATTTTTGGAGGCTACTTATATATTGTGAATTCATTAAAATATATATAATAGAGACAATGAACTAAGGAACTGGGACCAAATATTTAAAAATGAGTAGGTCCAAGAGACACTTGACATGAAGAACTGAAATGATTGACACCCAGTTATATGGAGAGGAGCCTACTGAGGAGATGTAACACTCTAGTTTTGAGTTTACTGTTTTACGCAGTAATTTGGGATTTTTAAGTAAGAAAATAACTTAGTATAGAGAGAAGACAAGATTGGTTTTTTAGGAAAATAGCAGATTTCAATTTTATTTTGGACTTGCTTTATTTAGGTTCTATAAATATAGCTGATATTGAGACCATGGATCTGGATATAGGAGAACAAACTCTAAAGACGAGGGGCTAGAGATCTGGATGAGGCAGGGTGGTCCAAGCCATGGCATGAAGGAAGACCTACACATATATTTTGATCTACAGATCACATGAATTTATAAAGTGCAGTCAGTTATGTTGTAGGAGGGGTATAGCTGGAAGGGAGGAGCGATAATTTAGGCTTTAGGATCTAAGTCTGCTATTCAGATTAGGGCCACTGTCATGTTTAAGTAGAAGCTCTATCTTCCCTTTCAGAATCACAGCTTGTGCCATGACTATGAATAAATATGTGGAAGAAAATGTATCTCAGAAGTCCTACACAACCATCAAGTACTTCATGAAGATGCTGAGCAGTGTCAGTGAGACCTTGATCTTCATCTTCATGGGTGTGTCCACTGTGGGGAAGAACCATGAATGGAACTGGGCCTTTGTCTGTTTCACTTTGGCTTTCTGTCTCATCTGGAGAGCACTGGGTAAGGAGCATTTGTTACTTAATGATCATTGAGTCATCCTAACACAATTAAGTTTTCTTCTTTCTGATCCTTTCGTTTTGCTGCAGTGGCTTCTTCATCCTCTTTATGTTTTCTTTCTTTTCTGCTTCTCCTTTCCATCTTCCTCCTATTATTTTTCTACTCTCTTTCCTTTCCCTTCTCCTCTCTCCTTTTCCATTTGTTATCCTTCCTTATCTCCTCCATCTTCTTCCTCTCCTCCTTTTCTCATCCTTTCAAAAGCATTCCTTTCTTCCTTGGTTTCTGCAGACCTTTGGTGTAAATCAAACTGTTTCACTTAGGGTCGATAATTCCAATAGATGAAACTTTGTTATTCCAGAACAATAATTGTCAAGATTGTAAGACCTAGCAGTGTTAATAAGGGGAGAAGCTTTAGTGTCTATCATGAAACATTTTTCCCTGTTTAAGAGGCACAGAGCAGAACTCTTCACATGTTGATATTCTGGCCTTACATAGTCTTATTTTATTTTGTGTTTGTCTTGTAGGTGTCTTTGTCCTGACTCAGGTTATTAACTGGTTCCGGACCATTCCCTTGACCTTCAAAGACCAGTTCATCATTGCCTATGGAGGACTCCGGGGTGCCATCTGTTTCTCCCTAGTGTTTCTCCTTCCTGCCACTGTGTTTCCTCGGAAGAAGCTGTTCATTACGGCTGCCATTGTTGTCATATTCTTCACTGTCTTCATCCTGGTGAGTGGAGCTCTTTTTCCCAGAAAATACTCTTTCCCAGAAGGAAAGAAGGTCACTCAAACTATCCTAAAGAATTCCGTTGACAGGACGCAAAGTGGCGCAGATCAGTTTAGGCTTTAGTAGTCATGACAGTAGGGAAAATGATACTTCCGCTCTGAGTTCATGTCATTGGATTGTCCTGGGTGTTATGAGAGTCCAATTTAGTCACTTGGCCTGCACATAGGAATTGTTATTTAAGGAAACTCAGCTAAGTGTGCTAGGCTTGCCATTGGAAATTCATGCACTGCACTTGCTAATCCTTGTCATTTGCCTTGCTCTCTGACCTAATAAGTGTACTTGTTAAATGCTGGCTGTGCACTGAAAACTTCTATTTGACAGGAGTTGAGTGACGTGGTACACACCCCTGGGTTAGAGGAGGAATGGGTGAATTGGGCTTACTATTGGGAAGCAGTAGTGTGCTTTTCAAGTTGATCAATATGCTAACTCTAGGGATATTATATTTGGTGGATATTCATTTAGTAAATATTTATTGGCCTTCTATTATGTGTCATGCACTTATTTTTAAATTTATGACAAGAACATAAAAAGATTATTGTTTCCACAGAACTCATATTCTTAGCAAAGTGGCAAACTCTATATAAGAAACTTAATAAGAAATGCCATATGGATTATGGTACAGAATGCAAAATGCTATGAAATAAAGGACAGGATATCAAGACTAGAGATGGCAGAGGATGGGTTCCAATTTTACATTGATTGTCAAATAAGAGAATAATGAGAAAAATGACATTTGAGTGAGGACTTGTATGTGTGGAGGACTTAGCCATGCTGAAGAGTGCAGAGAAATGGTATATTCTAAGGCATTTTCTTGGCTAGGGTAATGGGAGAGGAGAGCAGATGGTAGGTAGCAACAGGGGGACTAGATGAAGAAGATTCTGGAACACTACATTAGATAAGACAGAGCAGGTATGTTCTAATTGGCTGGACTTTTCTCCAACCAAAAAGGAAGCTATTGGAAAGTTTTGTACAGAAGCCTGATGTGTTGTGACATACTTTGTAAATGGATCATGCTGGACTATGTGTTAAGAACAGATAGAAGGAAAGGAAAGAAATGAGAGACTATGGTAGAGACCAGGGCAGGCATCAGGCAGACCCTGGTGGTGGGAGGAGAGTGTGTGAAAAGTGGAGAACCTAGAGGTCATTTGGAGGTGGAAGTGTAAATATCCTATAAGGTCAGATATGGATGTGAGAAAGGATGAGGCACCGGCAATGCCAGGGGCTGTGGTCTAAGGAACAGGAGGGATAGATGGGGAATTTGTGTGTGGAGCAGACAGAGGAAAGGAAGTTAGTAGTTCAGTTATTGATCTCCTGGGTGAGTCCTGTCTGTGAGCCCTGCATGTGGAAATGCTGAATGGGTAGATATGAAGAGCTTGAAATTGAGAAAGCAGTCCTCAGCCTGGTATGTGAAATCATGAAGCTGGGCGTGCTTGCTGGGGGAGTGAAAACACATATTGAAGAGAAAGAAAGAAAGGAAAGAAGGAAGGAAGGAAGGAAGGAAGAAAGAAAGAAAGAAAGAAAGAAAGAAAGAAAGAAAGAAAGAAAAAAAAAGAAAGAAAGAAAGAGAGAGAGAAAGAGAGAGAGAAAGAAAGAAAGAAAGAAAAAGAAAGGAAGAAAGAAAGGAAGGAAGGAAGAAAGAAAGAAAGAAGGAAAGAAAAAAAAGAACAAGGATTGGTTCCTGACCTAGCCTCCAGCCTAAGGAGGAGAGAAAGCAGACCAGAACAAAAAAGAAAGAAAGAAGAAAAATCAAGTGATATTTTTTGAATAGCCACAGAATGCTTTCTTAGAACTTTATCCAGATTGGAATATTTTTCATTTAACTCATTTAAACCCTGGGAACAATTCTGTGACATCTATTATCTCCTTTAGGAAAGAGAACACTGAAACTGAGGTAAAGGAATGATTCCAAGTAAAAGGCAGACCAGGTTGGTTTTAAGCAGGAAAGAAGTGTCTGCTAGAGACCCTAGGCTATAGGGAGTGTCCATTATTGTAATGTATATCACTGTTCTCCTCTTTCTAGTCAGGTATACAAGACTGTTCAGCCCTCCTTCATTCAGTCTTCCAACAGGAAGAGCACACTATGTAAAAGGATGCACTGGAAGACCTTGACCTATATTACATCTGTTACTGTTTTTGTAAACAAAAAATCACCCTTATAAAGACGGTTCCCTTCTTGAGAGCTAGCAGTGTGGTATATCATGCACTCAGAGCAGGGCTTTCCTACATGCATTATCTCATTCCATCCTCAGAATAACCCTCCAAGTTGGAGATTCGATTTACCTCCTTCAGGGAAAATCCATTTTCTGCTGACACAAGTTGAGCCCAGAATGGGCTACATAGACTAAGCTCTTCACTTATTCCATGCCACTTAGTCACTTAAAGAAGATATATTTACCAGGTTATAGTCAATAGTATAGCCATGCATCATCCAATGGCAGGAATTAGTGCTGAAAAGACATCATTATACTTTGCTGTTATGAATATGATAGAGTGCACCTATACAAAGGGAGTTGGTATGGTCAACTATGCATCTACACTATGTGGCACTAGTATTAAACTAGTCTTAAGTTTTTCCCTCCTTCCCTCCCTCCTTTTCCTCCTTCCTCCCTTCCCTCCTTCCTCCCTTCCCTCCTTTCTTCCATCCTTCCTTCCCTCCCTCTTTCCTTCATTCTCTTCTTCCTTCCCTCTTCCCTCCTTCCTTCCTTCCCTCCTTCCTTCCCTCTTCCCTCCCTCTTCCTTTCCTTCCTTCCTTCCTTCCTTCCTTCCTTCCTTCCTTCCTTCCTTCCTTCCTCTGCTTAAGGCTTTTCGTTGCTATTGTTAAACTGAGACACAACACTCACATTGTCCTAGGCCTATGAATGTCATGATCTTTCCCTTTTCCATTTTGTCCTACTCTAAGTTCCCTAATGGTGAAAACCTACAGAAATGGTTGCCTCCTATGATAAGTAGTCTGTCCTGCTCAAGCAATCTTTACAGTTCACATTTTAAGCAAAACAAGTAGAAATGTACTTTAAAATAATGGTGAATCCTACAGTGTAGAAAAGAAGTGAGGGCTGAGATGTAGCTCAGTGGCAAAGTGCTTGCCTGGCAAGTACAATGTCCTGGGTTTGATACTCAGTACCAAAAAGAAAATACAAAAAAATACAGTTTAAAACAAACAAACAAACAAACAAAAATTAACCCTTAAAAAAAACTGGTTGCTGGTGGCTCACACCTGTAATCCTAGCTACTCAGGAGGCTGAGATCTGGGGATCATGGTTCAAAGCCAGCTTGGCAGGAAAATCCATGAGACTCTTATCTCTAGTTAAACACCAGAAAACTGGAAATTGTGCTGTGGCTCAAGTGGTAGAACACTAGCCTTGAGCTGAAGAGCTGAAGGACAGAGCCCAGACCCAGAGTTCAAGCCCCATGACTGACAAAAAAGAAAGAAAGAAAGAAAGAAAGAAAGAAAGAAAGAAAGAAAGAAAGAAAGAAAGAAAGAAAGAAAGAAAAGAAGTGAATAACAGGCAGAGACTGATAGCTAATGTCTGTAATCCTAACTACTTAGGAGGATGAGCTCTGAGGACCACAACTTGAAGCTAATCCAGGAAGACAAATCCAAGAGACTCTTATGTCTAGTTAACCAGGAAAAAGCTAAAAGCAGGAGTAGCTCAAATGGCAAAGTAACAACCTTGATTACAAAAACTAAGGGACAGAGCTCAGGCCCTGAATTGAAGTCCCAATAACACACACACACACACACACACACACACACACACACACACAAAAGAAAAGGGAAGGAAAGGAAGGAAAGAAAACTACAAATGCATGAGTAATAGAATTGTTTATTATTGTTATCAAGTGTCATGTGCTGGACATGGTATGAGCTCTCTTTTTATGTGTCTGGCAGCACAGCAGGTTTGTTTATACCAGCAGTACCATAAACACACGAACGTTGCCTTGAGCTATGATGTTGTAACTGCTGGGACTGCATATCCTAGGTGGTAGGAACTTTCCACCTCCATTGTAATCTTATGGGCCCTCTGTTGCATGTGTAACCTGTTTTTGACCAAATGCTATGTTAGAGTTAACATGCACTGAGTTTTTGTTTGAATCTCCCATGTGGATTTGAATCCCTACCTTAAACTCAGAGGACACTGTGGAGTCTTCCAGGTTGATGAGTGGTGCTACACTTCCTTGACTTCATCTTTTGTCTTTAGTAGCTATAAGACTTTTTTCTTAACAAGACCTTCAAATTACCCCTTTTACTCTTTGCCTGAGGCAAAGTTATAGGGTGAATCCAAGGGCAGACTATTTGTCAAGAAAGGCCAGGCAAAGTGATTGATTGGCCTTTTCTTTCAGACCTGCTTTCTCTTCCTCACTTCCCTCAGTGAATCCTGTCAGGGTATGCTATGCTTCCAGGCTGAGGGACTGCTTTCCATCCTTCTATAATGGAGGCTATCAGATCTGAGAACCAAAGACAAAAATAGAATCAGGTCAGCCTAGTGTGACTAGGAACTAGGTCATTGGGAGAGGAACATAGCATCCATGATCTTCTACTTAAGTGTGTCTCAAACACCTACAAAGGCAAGACCTTTGTAGTCACAAGTAGAGTGACATCAGAGAATGGTGGAATTCAAGATAGGACTACCATAGCTCAGAGGTGTGTGTGTGTGGGTGTGTGTGTGTGTGTGTGTGTGTGTGTGTGTGTGTGTGTGCTGGTCCTGACATTTAAACTCAGGGGCTAGGCACTATCTGGTATTTTTTGCTCAAGGATAGTGCTCTACCATTTGAGCCACAGCTCTACTCTGGCTCATTTTTACTTAATTGAAGATAAAAGTCTCTCAGACTTTTCTGCTTGGGCTGGCTTTAATATCATCAAATCTCAGTCTCCTGAGTAACTAGGATTATAGGCATGAGCCATTGGAGCCTGGCTTTCAGACTTTTTTCACTATTAAGTTTAT